TTAGATGTTTTAATAAAGTGTGTTAAAAGTCAAAGTCTATGTCTCTCTCTCTCTCTCTCTATGTCTCTCTCTCCTCCAGACATGAGTGTATTTCCAGTCACTGTATCTGTGGAAATGTGAGGAATTCAAAGCGTTCGCTGCTCTCATTTTGAAAAGCCTGCTCATTTCCTCTGATAGTGCTGAAGGTATTTTAGACATGTCCTCGTGAGGGATCAGGAGCGTCTAGCTAACTAGGGTTCATCGGCAGTCGCGACGTCTGCTAATATAGCATCTGTAACTGTCGGCATGCCAGGTGGACTGTAAAAAATCACACTCCTGAGTCCTGAACAAACAAGACACACATGAGAGGCGTTTTATAGACGAGTGTGATGTCAGGCTGAAATCATTAGGATCTGGACGTGAGCGGCCTTCAGCTGAGATCCTGCTTTCCCTCACGGGAAACGATTTTTATCAGTGTTAAATCCATGTCGACCTTCTTCTCCCTGTCACAACAGTATCAAAATATCAGGCAGAACAACGTCTGCAGATGGAAAACAGGTCCAGGCTGCAGGAACGATCCTCCTGGAGATATCCAGAGATATTCTGCTCTCAGGTTGCTCCTTTAATGTGCGTCTGTGGGGGTTTTTCACCTGTTTTATGGTCCAGCAGGTGAAAATGGAGAATCTAATTGCTTAGTGAAGTAAAATGACACATGGTTTGAGGAATCATTCTGTCTGGAGTGCAAACGCTACAAAACGTCCTTTTTCACATGTGAATGCACCATATGATGAAAATATAATGGTTTGCAAACAGCATTTCATATTATAAAAGGGCACAAGAGAAAGTTTATTAACATCTAAACATAAGACTCTCTGTGTGTGTGTGTGTGTGTGTGTGTGTAATATTTATATAAATTCAATGTATGTAGTAATATTATTATTTAATATATATATATATATATGATATAATTTTAGTTTTTGTAGCATAAGAGACATTTTCAGTTATATTTTATATTTTTCATATAAGTTTATATTTTTATTTATATTAGTTATTTTTACATATATTTTTGTATTTTCACTTTTAATTAAAATTTTTATATTTAATTTTTTGTAATTTATGTGCTTTTGACATTTTATTTTAATTTTAGTTCTAATTTCCAATCAGTAAATTTAGTGCTTCACCTTTAACTAAACGATAATTATGAAAGTTTCATCTAATATTTATGTTTAATTTATTTCAGATTTATTTCAGTTTTCTTAACCAAATAAAACATCACACCAAGTACTGTTTTCAATAGTTTGAGGTCAGTAAGATTTATTTGTAATAAATTAATACTTTTATTAAGGCTGTATGTTACAAAAGATTTCCATTTCAAATAAATGCTGTTCTTTTGAACTTTCTATTCATCAAAGAATCTTGAAAAATAAAATGTAGCACGGTTTCCACAAAAATATAAAGCAGCGCAACTGTTTTCAACATTGATAATAATTAGAAATCTTCCTTGAGCAGTAAATCAGCATATTAGAATGATTTCTGAAGATCATGTGACACTGAAGACTGGAGTAATGATGCTGAAAATTCAGCTTTGATCATAGCAATAAATTACTTTCTTCTACATATTCACATAGAAAATAGTTATTTTAAATCGGAGGATCCTCTCCATGGTAAAGAAAAACCCTTTCACAACATCCAGCCAAGAGAAGAGCACTCTCCAGGAGGCAGACGAGTCTCTGTCAAAGTCTACAATCAAGAGAAGACTTCACCTGAGCAAACACAGAGGCTTCACCACAAGCTGCAAACAAGGCCAGGTTAGACTTTGCCAAAAAACATCTAAAAAAGCCAGACCACTTCTGGAAAAGCATTCTTTGGACGGCTGAAATTAAGATCAAGCTGTACCAGAATGACGGGAAGGGAAAAGTATGGAGAAGGTTTGGAACAACTCATGATCCAAAGCACACAACATCATCTGTGAAACATGGTAGAGCAGTGTGATAGCACGAGCAAGCCATGCATGCAGTGGCACTGGATTACTAGTGTTTAGTGATGATGAGACAGAAGACAGAAGCAGCCGGATGAACTCTGAAGTGTGTAGAGATATACTCTCTGCCCAGATTCAGTCAAATGCAGTAAAGTTGATTGGACGGCGCTTCATAGTACAAATGGACGATGACCCAAAACATACAGCAAAAGCAACCCAGGAGTTTTTGAAGGTAAAGAAAGTGGAATATTCTGCAATGGCCGAGTCAATCTCCTGATCTCAACCCGATTGAGCATGCATTTCACTCGCTGAAGTCTGCTGCAGTAAAGGCCTGACAAAGCATCACAAAGAAGAAACCCAGTCTCTGCTGATGTCCATGAGTTCCAGACTTAAGACTTTCTCACCTGAAAATGGGGGGACTGTGTATAAAAATGGTTGTAATTCCTAAGCATTTTATGTTATATACACCTTAAATTAAAGCTTAAAGTCTGCACTTCAATTTCATCCTGATTGTTTCATTTTAATTCTATTCTGGTGGCATACAGAGCCAAAATTATGAAAATGGTGTCGGTGTCCAAATATATATGGACCTCACTGTATGTATGTGTATCTTCTGTATCTGTATCTTACAGATCTCAAAGTTATTTTTTAGTGCATCTAATAATTTAATAGTAAAAGAATGACACATCAGCTTTAAATAATCTTTATGCTTTCCATCATCTCAGATCTGATCATCCATCGTATGAGAAACACAAAGACACCAGTGTGAGAAGCTTGGTCTGGAAGCTTTTTCTCTCAACATCCGTCCACTCCCAGGAAATGTTGTTGTTTTATTTTTGGGCAGATAAGCTGCTCCCAGCTGGACGCGCATACAGTGACTCCTCACAGGAGAGCCCATGAATGCAGGTGTGACGTTTGGATCGGGAGGAGGAGAGGTGACACAGAGGTTAGCGAGATGAGTCTCGATTAGCCAGATGGCTTTTTTCAGGCCTGCGGTCTCTGAGGCCTTCCTCGCCGAACAAGAGGAGCACAGAACAAAAGGAGGAGCCACGTACGGGACGTCCCTGCGCGCTCACCTTTCTTTCCTTCTCACGTTCCACAGTCAGCGGTTTCACAGCTCGCACAAAAGAGATACGCTGCCGTCGACCTCAGTCAACTGACTCTCCACTCATAATAATACAGAGCGTTTACTTTCAGAAAGAGTAGGAATGCTTCACCCAAAAATTTATATTTTCTGAAAATGTTCTCACCATCAGGCCATTCAAGATGTAGATGAGTTTGTTTCTTCATCAGATTTGGAGAAATGTAGCACTGCATCAGTGTCTCAGCAATGGATGCTCTGCAGTGAATGGGTGCCGTCAGAATGAGAGTCCAAACAGCTGATAAAAACATCACAATAATCCACAAGTAATCCACACCACTCCAGTCCATCAGTTAACATCTGGAGAAGACAAAAGCTGAAACAAATCCAGCA